ACTGACTTTCCTCTGTATGAGCAGAAACCTGGCCCGGGGAACTCACCTCCTTGGTTTGCCTTCCGTTTCATTTCTGTGGTTACTTAGATGGGAAATGTAAATGTGTTGGGGAGACTCAGATGCACAAGCACCTTCCTGGGGTAATTCTATTGCAGCAATATTGCCATTGGAAACTTTTTGTTTATATCCCAGGCTGGCTTCAGACTCATGTGTAGCTGAGGGTAACCTTGAACCCCTTCCATTTGGGATTACAGGTGTGCGCAACCACATCCAGTTTACTTGATGCTGGGCATTGGACCCAGGGCTCCTTGCAGACTATAGGGAGACATTCTGATAGCTTAAACACATCTCCAGTCCCCTAGATACATTTTCTCTCTCTCCACCAAAGCAGTAAATATATTGTATGGTTGAGAGATTTGCTTTGGTTGAATTTGACTAAGATTGGTTTTTGTTCCTGAACCAAAAGACAGTGTCTTCTTGCATAGCTGCTGTAGCTCTCAGCAGGTGTGGAACCTTTGGCAACGTTTTTGAAGACAACTGTGTAAGGCGCTAAGTGTCATGACCCTCACTTTCTTGTCTCTAGGTCTGAGGGCGGTGTGCCCAATACAGCCTTCGAGAGCCTAGGGTCTAGGATATGATTTCTGAGCCAGTGAAGGCATTGTTATCCCCTCATTTCTGCATTCTAGTTTTCTTTTTTTCCTCCTAGGAATCCGTGCCTTCAGCTTCTCCTACCAGTACACCCAAGCACAGCGTGAAAAGGACGACAAGCACAGAGGAGCCCAAGGGGCCGCATGGACAGGGCCTGTTCATGATGCCTCCTGCGGGAGTGGGCCTTGGCAGCCTGAAGAGTGAGTTTGTGCCCAGTGCCTCTATCAAGCAGCGTGGGCAGCAGGCCATGCCACCTGTTAGCCAAAGTTCCAGCAGCCCAGGTAAGAAACGAAGAAAGAGCTGTACAACGAATGTGGGGATTGTCCTGAAGCTCTTCCGGGGAGCTCTGTGGAACTCAAGGCTGACGTGAGGTGGTGTCTGTGTGATGCCCAGGCCTCATGCTGCTTTTGAGGCATGAGTGTCTGAGGTGTGGTTAGTCTCCGATAACTTCTAGAGTAGATTCATTTAGAAGATGCATTAGAAGTGGGGAGGCTCTCGGTTATCTGTGGGACTCTCACAGGTCCAGCTGGCTCCTGCCATGAGTGTCTGAGGTGTGGTTAGTCTCCGATAACTTCCAGAGTAGATTCATTTAGAAGATGCATTAGAAGTGGGAGGCTCTCGGTTATCTGTGGGACTCTCACAGGTCCAGCTGGCTCCTGTGTCCTCATGAGCTGTTACCCAGACCCTGTCCTTGCAGGCCACTGTTTTGTTCCCCAAAATAAGACGCTAAGGTTAGTGTCAGTGAAGCTTAAGGACAGAAGTGCTGTAAAATGACCTTGTAGGTCTGAGTCACTCTGCTATGGGTACTCTTGTTTTTGATTTTTTTTTTTTCTTTTTTGGGCTTTTTGGGATAGGACTCTGTAAGTAGCCTAGGCTAGCCTGACCTCTTCACCATGCCTCTGCCTCTCCAGTGTTGGGATTGTGACTGTGGCTTTTTGGGCTTTTTGGGATAGGACTCTGTAAGTAGCCTAGGCTAGCCCGACCTCTTCACCATGCCTCTGCCTCTCCAGTGTTGGGATTGTGACTGTGGCCCTTTGTGAACACGAGAATCTGTCATTCTGAGCCTGGGCCTAATCTGTGCTCTGGAATTTCCATCATGTCATTGGATGGATGCCATGCTGGACAGTGAGGCGCTTCTCTGAGGAGTTTGGTTGGAAGGGAGGCTGAGATGAGCTCAGTGCGGCTGCACTGTGGGCAGTGAAGGGTGCAGCTGAGGGAGGTTCTGGTTGTTTTTACTAGATAGCCCTGAGGATTGGTGGACTCCCTGCAGGACCTCACTGTCCTGGAGGTGAGAGCAAAGAGACTAATGACTGTGCTGAAGAGAGATAATTTCGTTCACCATTGTGCGTTTTCTTGAATACACCAATGAACTCAATGCCATTGTGTTTATTTGCATGGACTTATCCTTGTGGTACCCTGCTCAGGGTTCATCTCCCCTTCATAGGAGGGAGGAGCAAAAGGCTTAGAGAGATGAAGTAACTTGGCTCATCATGTTGCTAGTAAGTGGTAGAGCTGGATGGTGAGTTTTGGAGAAGACAGTTGATCAGGGTGACTTTGTCTCTTAGCTCTGATTGGTGCTGTGGTACTTGGAAGGGTGCCTTGAACCACTCTGTAAGTGGTTAAGACAGTGATGATTAGACGTGCAGCTAGTCTGATGTACAGGTGGATGCCTGTAAGAAGAGATCTGGTGGGTTGGGGAGGGGTGCTAGGGAGATGGCTCAGTCAGGAAAGTGCTGTACACAAGCTTGAGGACTGGCACTTAATCCCCAGCACTCATGTTAAACAACAGTAACAACAAAACTGGACAAAATGACATATGCCTGTAATACCAGTGCTGGGAAGGTGGAGGCAGGGGGATCCCTGCGATTGTTGGTCAGCCAGTCTAGCTGAATGGGTAAGCTCCAGGTTGAGTGAGAGACCTTGCTCCAGAAATAAGGTGTAGAACAACTGAGGACTTTGATGACACAAGACAAGTGAATGTGCATGGCTGTGGCATGCAGATGTACACACGTGAACACGCACAAGCACGCACAACAGGGTTATGTCTGTTCCAACATAATTTCTTCTGCCCCTTTGATGGCTTTTACTAAAATTCGCTCCCCAGTGCTATGCAGCTTTGGATGAAGGCTGTGGTTTTCTCACTGTCTCCACGTGGTTCTCCTTCTGCAGCTGCTCCCTGCAGTCTGTGTGGCCATGCTATTACTGTCTACAGCTCTCTCCCCAATTAGCCCTGCTCTCATGGGTTTCACATCTTTGTTAGTGCAGCTATCCCATCAAGAACTGTTTACCAAGCTCCTGCTTAACGCCAGGTGTTATAGTATACTCTGTCCCCTGTATACGTATATTAATGCATATATATTAACGTCCCCTTAGATACAGTTCCTCCCAGGGTGGTACTCACAGGAGAAAGGTATTAAATGAACATAAGCAGTGATAGATTATAGTAATGTTATGGGAAAGACAGAAGAAATGTGAGGACCTTATGTAGACCAAGTTGGGAAGGTCATGGTACTGATGAGGCTGCCCAAGAAGCAAAGAGCCTGGCTTTTTGGGAGATACAAAGGCCTGGATGCCTGAAGTTTGGAGAGCAAATGGGAGAATGGCTTGAGGTGAAGTCAGAAAAGTGGGCTATGGGCTTATGTAGGACCTTGCAAGCATTTGCAGGGAGTTTTGCATAGTTTGGATTAAACATAGCCACTGAAATTTCCAAAGGAAGGGAGTATTTCAGTCTGTTTCTTTTTTATCCAGGTATTTTGTGGAAAGAATGTGGAATTATGGAGGTACATTGGAGGATGTTTGTGGAGGTTTTGTAGGCAAGGGTGAAGTTGGTTTGGGTTTGATCAGTGGTGGTAGAAATGGTTAAACATAGTTTTTGAAAAAAGAGCTCCGTTGCTGGGACGGGTGTGGATTTGGGCAGCAGCATGTGTTGGACACAGCTATGCTGCTTTGCATGGTGGGCTCTAGAGGCCGTAGTTGAGGCCTCTGATGGCCAGGTTGCTGAGTAGTGCAGAGCAGGGCAACAGCTGCTTGATTTTCAGGGACAGAGCGGACTGTCTCTGAGCCTGTAGTTTGCTCAGGCCCAGCCTTTCTGCATGCTGCTCTTGTCCTTCCCTCTCTTCCCTTGGGCCCTTGTAGGAGACCATGTGTGCCTGCTGGATTGCATCGTGGTGGATCTGCAGGACATGGACATCTTTGCTGCAGAGAGACGCCCCAGAGACGGCTCTCAAGCCTCCGGCAGCAGCAGCGGGGACCTGATCTTCCCTTCCTATTTCGTGCGGCAGACAGGAGGAAGTCTCTTAACTGAGCCTTGTAGACTGAAATTGCAGGTGGAGAGGAATTTGGACAAGTGAGTGTTTTATCTGAATACCATGTAAGTAGAATCCTAGTAGCTTAGAAATCAGTGCTGTAAGGTAAGTAAGGAATGTTTCTTTTCTTATGTAGTGAATGCTAATTGTTCTTGCCGTGTGCTAGACACAAGGGCTTCTGTGATGGGAGAGAAACTGCTGCTGTCACCGAGGAAGCCGTTTAGAAGACTCTGACTTAGTGTTTGATTCGGGGTCTCTTTTGTAACCTTGCCTTGGGGACAGAGAGGAAAGAGTTTTAATTTAGCATGGACTTACGTGGTAATAGGGAGGTAGTGAGAACAGGCAGGGTATCTGGAAGATGGGCATTTGGAGTAAGTGTGCCAAGTGCTCTGGACCTGCTACTCCTGACCCCTGGAGTCCATCTACTTTGCATAACTGCCCAGGTGCAGTTTTGCTCCGTCCACATCAGGAAGCCCATTGAGAGTACAGGAAGCTTGTGTCTGTAGCTCAGAGCAATCACTGATTCCATTCTCACTGGCTTCATAACTGTCTGGGAAACTTGATGATCCTAGACCAGCAGAATCATGCTCAGGGCCAAAGCTTGGGTGTGTGTTTAGCAAGGTTGTGGCCTAGGGTGTGCTCCTGCTTGCCTGGCCCACACATGTGGCCTGGAAGCACTGATGACAGCATATCCCATCTTTCAGTATGGTGCTTTGGTTTAGGAGGAAGCAGCATTTTGCATTTTAACTCCAAGGAAAGATAGCAATCAAAGAGATTGGCTGAGGCTGGAGGTGGCTCAATGGTGAAGAGAGCTTGCTGCTCTTCTGGGGAACCCAAGTTTGGTTCCTATCTGTGCCAGGCACCTCACAATCTGCTTCTTCTGGTTTAAAGAACACCTGTACACACATATGTACACACAGATGAAGTAAAATAAATAAAACTCAAACAAAGATATTTGCAATGGGGACACCTTAAAAAGCAGGCTCGTTAGTCACTTTGCAGTCCTCAGGGTTGGGCAGCTCACTTCATGCCATTTTCCATTTCACTTTAGCTCACTGGGGTGTTTCTCTCAGTGGAACCTGTTATTCCAGAGCTCCCTGGCTGCTGTCCAGTTATGGTTAGCATGGGCTCTGTTTGGCTAGCCTGGCTTGGCCATCCCAAGATCTCATTTAGGAACCAAACTCTTGGTTTTCTCTGCAAGCAGCGGTCTTTAAGAAGTGCTTTTCTTTTCTGCCTCTCTAAGCTTCTCCCCTGCCTCTGGTGCTGTGTGTTGTGGCACGGCTGTGTCGGCCAGCGAGAATGCACCAGCAGGTGTGCGGTCCACTCCCCACCCACGAGCGCACCACGTGGTAGTGCCTCCCAGTAGTCCTTTGTCGATTGCATTGTTGGTCTTGAAAACTCTACTGTGGGACTAGAGAGATGGCTCAGAGGTTAAGAGCTGTGCTGCTCTAGAAAGGCCCTGAGTTGGGTTCCCAGCACCTGTGTCAGGTGGCTTATCTGTAACCCCAGCTTCAGGGGCTCCCGTGCCTCTGGGCTCCTTGGATGCCTGCACTCAGCTTGCATGCACTTTACCCCGCCCCCTCACGCGCAGTAAGTTAAACAAAACAAAGCAGCTGGGTTGTATATAGGCTTTCCCTGTGCAGACAAGTCAAATCTGTTTGCTTATTGATTGTTTTGCAGTCTGAGAGTCAAACCTAGGGACATAGTACATGCTAGACAAGCACCCTACCAGGGAGCTTTATCCTCAGCCCTACAGCAGAGATGTATGTATGTTTGTATGTATGTGTATATACACATACACACACACATATATATATATACATATATACATATATACATATACATACATACATATATATCTTTACACATCTTCCTCTTTAAATCCTAGCCCTTGAGTTCATGTATTCAGACATTGTGTATTGAGGACCCATGATGCCTGTCGTACCCATGGAAGAAAGAGAGCTCTTTAGTCCTAGCATGAGGCATGTGTGTCCCGGCTGCCCTGGGTGTCTTCTGTCTCAGTCTAGCTCCTCCAGGCACTATCAGGTGTCATCCTAAGTCATGTGCGCCCCTTGGCTCAGGAGGAAAGACCCATTTCTTCTTTCATCTCCTATTGGAGCTGGAGCTAAGAGCTGGGCATCTGGTCTTTATTACTTCCCCATCTGGAATGTTTAAGCTATCTCTGAGCCCTGTGAGAGTTTCCTTATTACTAGGATAGTCAGGCCTGGTGTAGTTACACCTGTAATCCCAGTGTTCAGTATTCAGGAGGGAGGAGGGTTGCTATGAGTTCAAGACTATGGGCCATAATGTGAGACTGTCTCAAAAAAAAAAAAAAAAAAAAAAAAAAAAAAAAAAAAGGCAAAGCAGAACAAAAGAAAACAACGAAAACCCAGACCCGAAACTAAAACCACACTTGTGGTTGGAGAGATGGCATTTTTAAGTACTGGTTCCCGGCACCCACATGGCAGCTGAAAACCACGTGTAACTCCATATCCAGGGGATAAGATCCCTTCTTCTGACCTGTGCAGACACTGCACACATGTGGTGTACAGGAATACATGCAGGCAAAACAACCATATCTGTAAAATAAAAAAGCGTTAGTTACCTCCTATGTATTTATGTGTATATGTTCATGTTTGTGTGTGCACTTATTTGGCATGCTGGGGATGGAACCTGGTGCCCATGTGTGTAGACTAGTGCTCTACTGCTGAGCTACATCCCCAGCTCATTAGACCCGGGTTTCCCCATGACATCTGGATGCTAAAAGTCTCTCTGCAGTTAAAGCATGGCAGTCACATTCACAGTAACTTGATCGTAGGGAGAAGTCAGAGAAAAACTGGCTCGTAATGTAGGTAGCCACACCGAAGCCTCACATCTGGCTGTGCTGTACCAAGGCAGTTAGTGACTTGTTCTTGAGGGTGGCCTCCTTTCTTTCTCATAGAGAAATACGGCACACTGTTGCAGACATATCTGTCCATGGCAGTCTGTCATCCGTGCACTGCTCCCTGGATCTGTGTAAATACAAGCTGATCCGTGGCTTGCTAGAGAACAACCTGGGGGAGCCCATAGAAGAGTTCATGCGACCTTACGACCTGCAGGATCCAAGGATTCATGTGAGTGAGACGGGCTGGGTGTTCTTCTGCAGCTTGTACCTTAGCTGATGGCCACCCATGTGGAGATTCCTCCAAGAAGGGGTGGAGGGTGCAGGAGTGGGAATGGGTGAGGCAGCGAGTGGCTGGGACTCGTTTACCTGAGAGTTGGTTCTCAGGGTGGCGCTGTCCCCCAGGCTGACCAGCATCTCCCTTCACAGACCGTGCTGAGTGGAGAGGTGTACACGTGCATGTGCTTCCTTATCGACATGGTGAACGTGAGTCTGGAGCTCAAGGACCCCAAAGGAAAAGAAGGCCCTGGCTCCCTAGCCAGGTCAGACCTGCATGAACTCTGATCTCACCGCTAGCCCAGAACGCCTTGAGAGCGGACCCTTCCCATTAGCACAGGGCGTGCCCATTAGCAATGGTGACCCTTCCCATTAGCACAGGGCGTTCCCATTAGCAATGGTCTGAGGCTGACCAAGTGTGTTAAGTGCTCTGTGCGTGCGTGCATGCAAGCATGTGTGTGTCCGATCATGTTTGTACATGTGTGAGAGTGAGAGTATGTGCGCACATATGTGCTCACACCGAAGAGCTGTGCCCCTGACCCCCGAGTGCTTTATTAGAAGTTTCAGTTTGGTTATCCTATGAGCCATGTCAGGTTAGCTTATGCCATTTTTTAACAGCAAGCCCCAATTACTAGTGACTTAAAGCTGTGAAGGTATGTTTTCCCCTCAAGCTAGGACACTGTGGGTGACAGGCTGTTCTGCTGTTTTATGTCTTGAGTGACAGAACATTTGCTTTGGCTTTTATTTTGGTTTTGAGGTAGAGTCTTGCTGTGTTGCCCAGGTTCGGTTTGAACTGCAGGATCTCAGCTTCAGCTTCCTTGAGTGGCTGGGACATAGGCATGTCACTGTACCCCATGTGATAAGCATTTTGACAGGGCAGATTGAAAAACAAGAGCCGTGGAGTAGTAAAAACAAGAGCTCTAGAATGGCCTTGGGTGGCACTTCAGTGGCCACCCAAGGAGCATGGAGCTGGAGCATGGTCTGACCAAGGTGAGGGGACTGGAGGGACACCTTGCCCTGTGTCTATATAGTTTTGGCATAGTTCGGGACAGTGCACCACTGGTGACTGACTTGTGGGTCAATGTTTTAAAATTGAGAGAATTCAGATAGATTAAGACAGACAGACAGACAGACAGACAGACAGAGAACATGAATGAGACCAGTTTTGAAAATTGGCAGCACTGGGCTGAGTTCCCTACTTGGAAACCTCTGGAAGCAACACAGTAGCTGCTCCCTTTTTGTGTGTGTGCTGGCCCCGGAGTTAACCTCTGCCACTGGTTTGTTAGAGTAGATGTGGGAATTTGCGGTAGAGTGGGATTTTGAAGAGCTCATTGTATTTTTACCCTGGAAGCCCGCCCTCCCTTGTCCTCTAAATTGGGCAGCTGATATCCCAGTTTTCCAGATTGATTGCTGTTGTTCATATATAATGTTCTAAATTTAATTTTTATTTTACTAGCCTAAGATTATATGGCTGGAAAGTTGGTTCGCATTTCAAAATGTGGTGCCAAAGCTAGTAATGTCTGCCTGAAGTCTCTGACTTCCAGCTTGTCTTTCTGTTCAGAGCCTGTGTGGCCTGCTTCCAGCTCAGCTGAGGGGAGCCATGTTGGTGAACCTGGTTCCCAAACTGTGTTCTTGGGGGCCAGCTACTCTTTAGATGCCTGGCTGTTCCTTTACTTTTTCTAGTTCTTCTGGTGTCCTGCTCACCCCCCCCCCCCCC